TTTGCCGGAAGGATTTTCTTCCCAAATATGTCTAATGAGACGTTCGTTTCGGGATCTGTGGACATGTCCTAACCATCTTAGCCTGTGTGCTTTAATAACATTTAAGATAGATGGTTCGCTGTTCAAGTTTTCCAGTTCTTCGTTGGTTCTAATTCGGTATTGCCCTGTTTCCTCATCCACTGTAGGTCCCTATATCCTCCTGAGAATTTTTAGCTTAAAGTGACTTAGCAGTGCTTCATTCTGCTTTGTGCTGGTCCAGGTTTCCGAGCCTTAAGTTATTACCGGTCTTATTACTGTTTTGTATATTTTGATTGTAGAATTCCTTGACAGTATTATTCGGTCTCTACCTGCTCTTCGGTTGACATGCATGTATTTGGTTTTCTCTTCGTTTATGTTTAACCGTACTTTTTTTGTTTCTTTCTCAATTCTTGTAAACATTTCCTTAATTTTGACTGTACTATTTCCCACAGTGTCAACGTCATCTGCATAGGCTAGTATCATTCTCGGACCTTGGTCTGAGAACACTTCCAGTTTTATCGTAGCTGATCTAATGCCATATCGAACACTATATTGAAGAGTAGTGGAGATAGTCCGTTGAGTTGTATTAAGCCACTGATAGATAGTGATAGACAGAGTTAAAGTTCCTCTCGAAAAATCTATTAAACAATACTTTTTGCAGTAGAATACTTTATAAAATATAAGTTACATATAATAAAATAATAACTTTTTAACACCGTCAACTTTACGTTTACGCACTTATCTATAGGTGGCCGGCCACCTAAATTTTAAACATTTCTATTTTTTGTTTTTGAGGAATACCTTATAAACAAATTAAATAGAATACCAACATCGCAAGCAACGATCGATCAAACACGTTCAAAAACTAAAGCTGAATGCAACCATATGTTTCGTTACTCACTGGCTCTGGTATATTAAATAAACTTATATGAACAACCCATTAAAGCTTGAGTTTGAAGTTATCACAAATTTGGACCAGAATCCAAATCAGTGACTTGAACGGATCAGAACTGTCAAATGTTAACAGTCCGTTCAACAGATCTTTTCATTTTGAATTAAAAGTTATAAAGCTTTGTGAACCAACCGTTCTGGATTTAGGTGAGGATTTAGTTCGCCTTTGGTCAAAAAAAGTTTTAAGTTTTCCAATTTTATTTTTCTACTCCCGTCTGTATATTACCTAATTACCCACCGATCTAGCATGCGGGATGCGTCACTTTACCACGTCAGTTTCATTTCCCATGAATCCGGGCCACTTCGGACATTTCCGGGATTTTACCGAACGAATTTGGGAGCAATCGGATGTTTTCGGAAATACTTCCCACGCTTTGAATTTTGACGTATGTCAATTCTGACGGTCATGTCAGTGAAAGCATTCGTGTTGTTTTGCGAAAATGTACCCAAAAACTAACGGTCGTAGAAAAAGTATAGTATGCAACACGTTCGGTAAACTTTTTAACTAACTCGTTTATTAAACACTCGCTCCGCCCGTGTCAAATAAACTCGTGAGTCAAATGCCGTTTACCGCACTTGTTGCATAATATACTATTAAAAACTCATTTTTTATGCAACTTTCGAAGCGGACGTCAAATCAATGAGTTATAAGCACCACAATAATGTCTTACTTGGTTTTCTAAATAAACCATTCCCATGTATATCTTTACATCTATTTTGATTATTGATTCTTAAATACAGGGTGTTAGGAAAGTGAATTCGGAAACTTGGTGGAAAGATTCAACGGGGTAAAATAGTGGTAGTAAGCCATATAACAAAAATTCCAAATCGTATTTCAAATTGTCAAAATCCATTTTCTAAATTTTATTTTCAACGCAATGGGCTTTATTCTCAACGTAATAAGGTCGTATTTTACACACTGCTCTGATTTAGTAAATGTCATCGTTACAAAGTAAAATTCTTTCAGATATCTGTCACTAGAGGGCACTTTCCCTAGAACATTTTTTTTAATTGTTACTGTTCTTTTAAGTTATGGTCTAGCCACAAATCGATTTTCTATTCTTGGCCCGAATACCTTGCATTTCTAATGTAAAGAAAGGTGATACTGGATATCGCGATTTCCGAACACCCTGTATAAAATAATGTGTAAAAACAGAGGTTGTGAGACATTCAAAATGATTTTCGTATCTATATGCAAAAGGGCAAATTTTTAATCTTAATCCTTTCGAAGAAATAAAAATATACAGAGGTTTGTTTTAACTGAAATCTAAGATGGCAGCGTAACTACAATGTCGTTTGAAAGATGTCATGATGTAAATCGCTTACTCATCTTTTTCATCAAAGTTAATTGCAAAGCGCACAAAGCTAAAATTATGTTTTGAGTGACACACTTACAGCAATGTATATTTTGCAAAAAAGTAAAGATAATAGCGTAAATCAATTTTTTAAAAGTGGCTTCGGCGAGTCTATATCTATCTATCTATATAATTAATGCTAACTTGTCGTTTTTTTTTCTTTCGTTTTCAGATTGGGAAATGGATATTGTTGATAATTTGATATACTATTTGTTTTTTTCTGTATAAATGTGGAAATAGTCAATAAATCCCGTCTGTAAAATGTCTAATTACACACCGATCTAGCGTGCGGGAAGCGTCACTTTACCACGTCAATTTCGTGTCTCACTGATTCGAGCCACTTCGGATATTTCCGGCGTTTTACAACAAAGGTTTTGGAGCAATCGGATGTTCTCGGAGCTATTTCCCAAGCGTTGAATTTTGATGTGTGTTAGTTAATGTATTCGTGTTGTTTTGCGAAAATGTACTCAAAAACTAACGGTAGTAGAAACAGTATAGTACGCAATACGTTAGGTAAACTTTTTAACTCACTCGTTTATTAAACACTCGCTCCACTGCGCTCAGTTTGTGTCAAATAAACTCGTGAGTCAAATGGCGTTTACCGCACTTGTTGCATAATATACTATTTTCTACTCCTCTTTGTAAAATACCTAATTACACACCAATCTAGCGTGCGGGAAGTATCACCTTACCATGTCAGTTTCGTTTCCTAGGAACCCGAGCCACTTTGTCAATTTTGACGGTTATGTCAGTGAATGTGTTGTGTTGTTTTGCGAAAATATATCCAAAAATTAACGGTAGGAGAAAAAGTGTAGTATGCAACACGTTTGGTAATAGTATATTATGCCAGTGCGGTAAACGGCGTTTGACTCACGAGTTTATTTGACACGAGCGGAGCTAGTTTTTAATAAACGAGTGGGTTAATAAGTTTACCGAACGTGTTGCATACTATACTTTTTCTACGACCGTTAGTTTTTGGCTACATTTTCGCAAAACAACACGAATACATTCACTGACATGACCGTCAGAATTGACAAACGTCAAAATGAGTGGGAAATATCTCCGAAAACATCCGATTGCTCCCAAATCCGTTGCGGTAAAATCCCGGAAATGTCCGAAATGGCTCGGATTCATGGGAAACCAAACTGACGTGGTAATGTGACGCTTTCCGCACGCTAGATCGGTGGGTAATTAGGTATTTTACAGAAGGGAGTAGAAAAACTTTTTAACTCACTCGTTTATTAAACACTCGCTTCGCTCGTGTCAAACAAAATGCCGTTTACCGCATGATTTACTATTTTTATCCAAAATGTGTCTACATATCGTTTATCATATACGAAATCAATTTGAAACATTTCCTTATATCTTTCGTGCCTATGAATAATTTCCAATCAAATATGATCTTGTTCACTTTCCCAGAATTCCCAACGGTTCTTATACAAGTTTCTGTTTTAGGTAAATAACCAGCGAGAGAATTTAAAGTTCACGTTTCCAATCAACGTGGAAAAAATCAAAAACAAAGAAACCCTTTGCCGTATCATCGAAAATGAAATTATTTCTCCTTTTACGACCACGGAAACAAAACCAATTTAAACTCAATACTAGGAAAATCGATAAAACGTACGAGCGTTCTACACCCAACAGCGACACGTATAATCATTCGACTCGTATTGCTTTTCATAAATAATGTTAATATCGGGCCAACGCAATCCGATATTTGCAGAGCGACCATGCCACTGTTTTATTGTTTTTGGTGCAATTCGTCGATGATAGTGAGAAGGAAAAAACGGATTTTATTGACCAGCAATATCGACTTTGACGAAGTGCTTGTGTCGATATTGTTTGCCCTTCTGAGGTTCTTATTTTCGACATCTTTTTTAGTCTGTTTTTATTCTTCAAAAAAGGGGTGTTAGCAATTTATCTAATGCACCTCGGAGAACACATTCTAAGCCATTTTTCATTGATAACAAGATTTAAAATTTACCCACCATCTTTATCCCATGCGCGTGTTGATTTTTTCGATCATTTTGCTACACAGGCATCTATAATGTTATGTAGACGATGCTCGTATTAAAAGGTCCAAAATGAAGTCAGTAATACCCATTATTGTGACCACAGACTATTTTCAGCTCGTCCGAACCGAATTGCCACTCCAAATTCATGAAATGACCCAAAAGCACCTTTTATTTGTTTTCTTTATGCATAAAAGGTTTGCTATAAAAATTGCGGATAATGATGTGATAAGTCCAGTAAGAATAATGATGTAAAGGAGGAGAACAACATGTCAGTTTTATGAATAAAACTAATGGGGGCAAAACATGCAATGTCCAAATGTTTGTTATCCACACCCTAAGATCAAACAAAGACATCGAATGTGGTTTGCAATGAAAATTTTAATATTCATTTAATATTAGTACGAGGTTATCATGGTTTAATCAACACTCCCACCCTTCCTCCCAATTTTATGAATGACTTTTGCGGCCTCTTTTTGTTGGACCTCTGTAGTTTTAACAAAATCCTATTTTTCTTGATCGCGCCTTTTCTTTACCTCGCAGTTTCCAAACCATTGAATTCTTTCACCTTTAACTTGTTACATCTTCATTCATGGGGGGTATTCGACGCGCGCTACGAATCCGACGCTTGCCCAGTAAGCGTCGCGACGCTCAGTCGTCATCGGGTCTACGCAGGTTGCGTGGAGCCGTCCCTCATTTACGATGATTTTCCTATTCGGTGTGTGACGTGTTTTGTTTAGCCTTTGAGCAATGTGTTTCGACTGTTGAAGAGAATTAAACGTATCGGACGTGAACCGCCGACATTAATCGAATGCGAGGGAGGCAAAACCGCGTGCGGTTAGGTGAAGGTCATAAATACGGGGCGGTGTCGACTTTGTTGTTGTCAACAACGTTACGGTGTTATGATTTGAGCTATTTAACCTCATTCGATGTAATTAGGAAATCTCGTGTGGTAAGGTTTCTGGGTACGAACAGATTTGATTTCATATTCGAAGGTGTTCTGGGGTCATTTAATTATCCGCGCCATTTCGCAGATCAATTAAAAGTGGATATTATATAGGGGGCAAAAGCTCCTCGTTTGTTTTTGTTTACAAACTGCGGTGCAATAGGTATAAACAACTCTAGCTGATTTCGAAATAATAACGTTACGTATTTATAAATTTGAGATAAGACGGCCTGAGCGATTTTTGTAAATAATTTTTATTTTTTGTCTTTTATCGATTTTTTATTAGAACAATTAAGAATTGTAACATCGGAATGGACGCATGTTTGACCGATTGTTAGTCGTTCCATCACAGTTTTGTTGACTGTTTGTTCCCCGTTTGTCGAAAGGTTAAAGCAAAATCCACTATACTCGACCGAAACCCACAAGATTGAAATTTTAATTATGTGACGAGTGGTGAATCACGCTTGAATTCTAGTGTTGTTATCTGTGATATAAAGTATTTCTAAAATTGTGTTTGAGCACATGCAATTAATTAAACATCTTATCTAAATTAAACTAAGAGAAATGTCAACGCGCAAGCTAAACTAACTAACTAACCAAAAATAACCAAAACTAACCAATTTTGAAAATTATAGTTTTTAATCTTTAATTTCTAATTTTTGAGGTATTGACCGAATTAGTTTCATCAACCTGCATTAATATTTAACGAAATGATTAGCTAAATGTGTTAAACATATTCTTCTGTATGAAGAAAATTGCTGACTTAAAATTAAGTTAAGTAAAAATTTTAAGTATTCTATTTAAAATTTATTAATTAATATATTATTTTAATTCTGGCATTGACACAACTCTTTCCTTAGAAGATGTTTTAAAGAGTGTGTTTTTTTATAAAAATCCAGGATATAAAAAAACCTTTCACATAACCTAAAAATTGTTGAGAATCGGTCAAATCTGTGAAATGATTGGAAAATCTATAAAATCTCTGTAAAATCCGTGACATCTGAAATCCATGAAATCTTGTCTGAAATCTGCAAAATCTTAAGGAATAAAATCTAGTGTATCGTTCATCCACTAGACAGAAATCTTAATTAAGTTTTCAAGATAATGTTGGTTAAACATCCTTTAAATGCTTAGAAATAATGATTGTCGTCTAAAATTAGTTATAAAAATATTAGGATTGCCATATAAAGAAATAGTCGGTGAGTTTACATCTCAAATTTGTAGGTACCTCAAAAAAAGCGCAATTTCAAATACTAATTGATGTATATATTTCTGAAAAAAAAAAACGTTTTTTTTTCCAAAACTAAAAGGTAGTGGCACATTCTACTTCCTAATTTTGTTGCTTCCTTTTGCGTTTCTTACTGTTTATCATTGGTTATTCGCTAGATACCATTTTTAATGGGTTTGCTCCTCTACAATACAAATTTTAATAATGCTATTTTTAGTGTAATTTGTCTTAGTTGTAAATGTTTGTTTCTACTTTTTTAAATTTTGGTTTCTGTTAATTTTTTTTATTATATCGATCTTAAGCTTCAATACATTTACCTTCAAAGGTTCTTAAACTCTTCACAGATGCTTGCCGCTGTAAGCATTGTTAACAACTTCGACAATAATATTTGCTTAATTTGTTTGAACAGTTAATTAGGTAGGCAGTTCTTGCTACTAGGTTTACAACTATCCACCGTACTTTGACGATCATATCGATGAAGTGTGTTTGCAAACATTGACTTCAAACTTATGTTTTTTATCGGTGTTTTCCTTTTAGGTCAGTGGTTTATTGGGTAGATTTTGTATAATGTATGCGATTGCAGAATCATCTATAAAGAAACGAAAAATTTCCGAGAAAAACCTATTTTGCGATGGCGGTTGCCATATCAAATTTTAACTACATCCATGGAGATTGTTTTAAATAATAAGACGTAGGTTTTTTATTTTATGATAAGGTTCGATTTAAATTGTTCGAGATTTGGTGAAAAAGTTTTTAAAATTTTCCTTTTTTTATTCTATTTATTCTATTAAAATATAGTAAACAGAAAATGCCTTTATGGATGAATAGCAAACAAGGTAAATGAATGAATAGGTACCATCTGCTTCCTTTCCGCGTACAAATTTTCCCGATTTATTCGTGCTGCCCTGTTTGCAAACTGGGGATAATATAAATTTATACTTACATATGGACGTTTTTATGGTTTGTTATTCCAGAGGGTGAAGGCATGATCGAAAAAGGCCATTTTCAAAGGAGCAATATTCTCTTTCTCTGCATTGTGGGAGATTACAAACATAAAGGCGTGGCTTTTTTTCTTTTGACGCCTTTGTCGGTGACTTTGGCGTGTTTCACTATAATATCCAATTCGAATGTACCCCAATCCACTAATAATTAAGTAAATCTTTCATTTAAAATATTAGCTTTGCACAAGTAAGTACATAGTACTTAAATTTGACAGAAATAGCAAGGAAAAAGAAAAAGAGAAAACTTCGAAGAACACTTAGTGATTAGCAATGGAATAAAAAAAATACAGGGTCTTCCATTTATAATTTGATTAAGACTAAAAAAAAGTAGAATATAAAACTGCATTTAATACATATTTCTACATAAAATTTACAGACGAGGCCCTTTACCTAGTTACTATTTTTAAGTTTGAACTTCAACTACAACAGGGTGTATTTTTATAATTTAAACGATTCAAAGAAGTTTTCGTAAATGAACCGTAATAAAAACTTCTGTCAATTTCTAATCGAACGACCTCAATCGACTCTATAATGCAACTAGAGTTATTTGACCCAGTACTGACCTAAAACACGCAACTAGGAAACAAGGAAATAACAATTTATTAACAAGAGCCCTGGTTTACATGACAGCCGGTTCTAATTTTACCACGTGGAGAAAATCGATTGACCTACCTTCCCTTGCAGTCGGATTCGGTAAAATTACTTTGTTTAATCGATACAAATACCGCAATTTTTATAAGGAATTTGTATTGATTTAAAACCGCCGTCTTTAAGCACAGCCTACAAGGAATAGAGAAAAATTATGTATCGCCATTTTGATGGGTCCGGAGATGAAACGGATTGTCATTTTGGCACCCATTTTAGTTGTGAAACATTTCAGGCAGCAAAAAGTCTGGTAATCTTTTAAACTTGTTTCTTTTAATTAAGACAAAACTGCTTCCGGAAGTTGTTGATAAATAAGGTCGTTTCGGAGAAAATTGAACTGACGTCGGTTAAACATTTTTTAATACAAGATATTTTAAGTGTTTTAGTCCTATTTGCCGATTTTGCATTTTAAAGAGGGTTTCTTTGTAACTTTTGCTAAGGAAATCGAACCGGAATGTTGAAACTATCACCTTCAAATAGTGGGATTTGTTGTGATTTTATATGGAAAATATCCTTTCAAGTTGAAAAATAATAGCAAATTTAGAAGCTCCCGTTAAACTATTTAAACCTGTTACATAAGACACAATAACGCGTTTTACCACAAACCGAAACTCAATTTTACGTATTCGACGCGCGTTTCGCCAACCAGTTAGCATCTTCAGGAGATGGTTTGTGGTAAAACGCGTTATTGTGTGTTAGTAGAGTGCCGAAGGTTCCAGTCAAGAGTCTGTTACATAAGAGTCATCCCAAAAATCAGGAGTCTACAGGTTGAAATCTGGATCTTGTCCTAAAATTTATATTGGACAAACAGGTAGATCCTTCAAGAAACGCATTAACGAACATATAAGAGCGTTTAAAAACAATAGTCTAGATTCTAATTATGCTACACACTTAAACGCGGAAAAACACATTTTTGACGACAATTTTGGTATATTACATACAGCCACAAAAAGTAGAAAATTAAATTTATTGGAAGCCATGGAGATTAACAAAGTGAGACATTCAAATGTATTGCTTAACGATCAATTAGATTTAGATACCTCTCTTTTATTGAACTTAAATTCTCGCAACAACATTAATTAAGGTTTTATGGACATTTTCGGTATATATAGTAACAGGTAGTTTGTAATAATTACATTTGATAATTTGTCGAAACAATTGTTATGTCAAAATATATAATTTCGTGAAAATCTGAACTTTTAGTTCTTATTTATTTCGATAAATGGGTTTTCATCAAGTAAAAGCCTCCTCAGTTCGAGTTATATTCTCACCTCTACTGCCAGGCTGTGCTGTCTCAGTTCAATTATACTGATAACGTTTATGATCCATTCCTCGATTTTGTAATGTCCAAGAAAATAGAAAAATGACATAATGCCTGCTTTAGATTCTTTTATCAAAATTACATGCAAATTGGAGAACCTTTAGTTGCTTAACAATTATAATCAAATACCCCTTCCCATGTTGGTTTCTCTCTACAAAATCATCATACATAATTGTCCACCGTATTAAACTCACATTTTGCACCAAATATATTTTTTTGTCACAAAACAAAGAACTTTATAAAAAGTCTTATGCCTCTCGCATTGCATTCTTTGATTAAAATATTTTAAATTGAAGAAAAATTATTGCAACTAGAATAACATAAATACTACTTTTTAATTGTACAGACCAAATGAATTATATATTGTATATGTTGAAGTCAAAGCATTCGTTTAGTAAATGTATACATTTACTAGCCAATGCATACATTTGATAAACTCCGTAGTTAAAGTATTCATTTTAACTGAAATGAACACATTTGCTAGTGGATTCACGGACTGCTTCTAGTCAATGCAATGGAATTTTAATTTCAATTTTAATTAACGCCAAATGATATTCAAGACAATGCCATTGAATTACCATTACGAACTTTTGCAACCAAACAGTCGATAGGTACCGGACAGGAATTTGCTAAATGCCAATGTAAAACAAAATGCACAACAAATAGATGTGCATGCCTTAAAGCAAAAAAATTGTGCAATTCCAAATGCCATGGAAGTTTGAATTGTTCAAACAAATAAAGTGTTTTTCTTATTTATAAATGTGTTTGTGTTTCAAATTATTTTCTTTCTATGTTAGGTGCTTTTGTATTTTTATGTTATAACTAGCTCTAGTACAATAATCATCGAGTCAATAGCTAATTTAATTATTCGCTAAACTAAATTTTATTTTGAAATTCATCAATTAACGCTTTGACTGCAGTTTAGTAAGTGCATGCATTACCTAGTTAATGCATGCAGTTACTAGTTAAGGTGTTCATTCCAATAAAATGGGAAGTGAATGTATGCATTGGGAATGTACACTTTGACTGCAACATATATAACATGTGCCAAGGGTGTGCTTAAATTTCTATTAGATGATCTTTTAGTCATATTTGATTTTAATAATCAATCGAAAATCCATATACCCAATCAAAAAATGTTTAGAACGTCTTACCAACACTATCGTTCTTTCTGGTTTCTGCAAAATTAATTGGGTGAAAAGAGGAGTCCATACGAAGTATATAATATGTCAGGTTCTACCGTCTCTTGCAGTGCAATAGAAAGTATGCAAAAGAAGGAAAAAAGAAGGATAGGGCCTCGTTCTATCCACGTACATAGATGCGAATTCAAAATAATTGTGCTTAGTTGAATAAGGCCGGCGTGAGATTTCATGCATTTTGAAAAATTACGTAAAATCATTTACGACGATCTGCCTTTCTTTCAAAAGTTAACTTACTATTAAAATTTAATAAATTGAGAATCTCTCCCGTTCACCGTTATTTAGCTTATAGTTTTAATTTATTTTTTATCAGTCGGAAATTTTATCCTAATAACTAAGTATATATTGTTTTCATTTTTCCACGCATGTGAAACTTACATCTATCTATATATCTATTAATACCTCCGAATCTGATTGACCGAAATATTTTTCCCCTACGCTTTGTGCGTAGTCCTTTTGGTCCGTTCGGTTTCCCTTGATGTTCCCTTGAAGGTTCCAGTCAAGAGTCTGTTACATAAGAGTCATCCCAAAAATCAGGAGTCTACAGGTTGAAATCTAGATCTTGTCCTAAAATTTATATTGGACAAACAGGTAGATCCTTCAAGAAACGCATTAACGAACATATAAGAGCGTTTAAAAGCAATAGTCTAGATTCTAATTATGCTACACACTTAAACACGGAAAAACACATTTTTGACGACAATTTTGGTATATTACATACAGCCACAAAAAGTAGAAAATTAAATTTATTGGAAGCCATGGAGATTAACAAAGTGAGACATTCAAATGTATTGCTTAACGATCAATTAGATTTAGATACCTCTCTTTTATTGAACTTAAATTCTCGCAACAACATTAATTAAGGTTTTATGGACATTTTCGGTATATATAGTAACAGGTAGTTTGTAATAATTACATTTGATAATTTGTCGAAACAATTGTTATGTCAAAATATATAATTTCGTGAAAATCTGAACTTTTAGTTCTTATTTATTTCGATAAATGGGTTTTCATCAAGTAAAAGCCTCCTCAGTTCGAGTTATATTCTCACCTCTACTGCCAGGCTGTGCTGTCTCAGTTCAATTATACTGATAACGTTTATGATCCATTCCTCGATTTTGTAATGTCCAAGAAAATAGAAAAATGACATAATGCCTGCTTTAGATTCTTTTATCAAAATTACATGCAAATTGGAGAACCTTTAGTTGCTTAACAATTATAATCAAATACCCCTTCCCATGTTGGTTTCTCTCTACAAAATCATCATACATAATTGTCCACCGTATTAAACTCACATTTTGCACCAAATATATTTTTTTGTCACAAAACAAAGAACTTTATAAAAAGTCTTATGCCTCTCGCATTGCATTCTTTGATTAAAATATTTTAAATTGAAGAAAAATTATTGCAACTAGAATAACATAAATACTACTTTTTAATTGTACAGACCAAATGAATTATATATTGTATATGTTGAAGTCAAAGCATTCGTTTAGTAAATGTATACATTTACTAGCCAATGCATACATTTGATAAACTCCGTAGTTAAAGTATTCATTTTAACTGAAATGAACACATTTGCTAGTGGATTCACGGACTGCTTCTAGTCAATGCAATGGAATTTTAATTTCAATTTTAATTAACGCCAAATGATATTCAAGACAATGCCATTGAATTACCATTACGAACTTTTGCAACCAAACAGTCGATAGGTACCGGACAGGAATTTGCTAAATGCCAATGTAAAACAAAATGCACAACAAATAGATGTGCATGCCTTAAAGCAAAAAAATTGTACAATTCCAAATGCCATGGAAGTTTAAATTGTTCAAACAAATAAAGTGTTTTTCTTATTTATAAATGTGTTTGTGTTTCAAATTATTTTCTTTCTATGTTAGGTGCTTTTGTATTTTTATGTTATAACTAGCTCTAGTACAATAATCATCGAGTCAATAGCTAATTAAATTATTCGCTAAACTAAATTTTATTTTGAAATTCATCAATTAACGCTTTGACTGCAGTTTAGTAAGTGCATGCATTACCTAGTTAATGCATGCAGTTACTAGTTAAGGTGTTCATTCCAATAAAATGGGAAGTGAATGTATGCATTGGGAATGTACACTTTGACTGCAACATATATAACATGTGCCAAGGGTGTGCTTAAATTTCTATTAGGTGATCTTTTAGTCATATTTGATTTTAATAATCAATCGAAAATCCATATACCCAATCAAAAAATGTTTAGAACGTCTTACCAACACTATCGTTCTTTCTGGTTTCTGCAAAATTAATTGGGTGAAAAGAGGAGTCCATACGAAGTATATAATATGTCAGGTTCTACCGTCTCTTGCAGTGCAATAGAAAGTATGCAAAATAAGGAAAAAAGAAGGATAGGGCCTCGTTCTATCCACTTACATAGATGCGAATTCAAAATAATTGTGCTTAGTTGAATAAGGCCGGCGTGAGATTTCATGCATTTTGAAAAATTACGTAAAATCATTTACGACGATCTGCCTTTCTTTCAAAAGTTAACTTACTATTAAAATTTAATAAATTGAGAATCTCTCCCGTTCACCGTTATTTAGCTTATAGTTTTAATTTATTTTTTATCAGTCGGAAATTTTATCCTAATAACTAAGTATATATTGTTTTCCTTTTTCCACGCATGTGAAACTTACATCTATCTATATATCTATTAATACCTCCGAATCTGATTGACCGAAATATTTTTCCCCTACGCTTTGTGCGTAGTCCTTTTGGTCCGTTCGGTTTCCCTTGATGTGTCGGCCACGTTAACTTGCACCGCAAACAAAGCAGCAGGCACATGTCACGGAAGCAGCTGTACCAATTAGATGTTTGCTCTAGAGGAAAACCGAAAAGTTACCACAACGCGCCCGCAGCGAATAACAGGCTCTTAATGAAAGACAAAACGACGTCTTAAAGTAGAATGACCGTAGTTTCCGTGTGGTAATACAAACCGAACGACACCAATAACGAACGAAAATTAGTGAATACGGTGTGTCCAGAAAATGACATATTTTTGTTCAACGAAATGGTGTATTTTTTTTTATTTGCTACAAGAATTATTCGACCCAAGAACACGAATTTTAAGTAGGTAATATTATAGATGCTATATTGGATGTTCAGTGAAATCAAATCTGTGACATAGTTTGAGGAATTGCAAGAGTCTGTCAATTAACAAGTGAAACTATATTTTCTCTTTGATTGGCTTGGAACTTAGAAGTTATAGTTACTAGTCATAGGTTTTGCGTCCATTATTATATCTATGGTAATGTTTTGGCAATTCCTCTGGGAATAAAGGAAAATTTTTTGTCTGGGATAGAAAAGAGAAAGTAGAGCTTTACGTCTTGATAGGATAACAACCATTACGCCACCACCCATGAGGATACTATATGAACATTTGTGTATATGCTCCATTTATTGGATAACTGTGGTAGAAGGGAGGGGTTCAAAACCAATTGGGAGCGTGACCCGGCTCCTCAACTAGTAATGTGATAAATGTGGCGGAACTAAAACGTAGGCGGTGCATATGTCGTTAGTGTCATCTTTTGAGGAAAACAAATGAGACCCCACATCAGAAGTAGTGAAAATGATCAGGAGGAATCGGAAGGTAACTAATTTTTGTGTGTGTTTGGATGGCTTACAATTATTTTATAATATTGTGGTTAGTTTGCTTAGTTATAGGTATTAAATGGTCATTGTGTAATAAAGCAAGAAGTGATGGACAGTACAACTTTTAAGAGGGCGGTTAAGCTGCAGGAGTTGTTTTGATGTCTACTAGTTATAACATTTTTGATATTGCTATTGCTGCTACAGTCATTATTAAAGAAAAATATAAGGTGTATTCAATCTGAGAATTCTATACTAAAATAGGTAAATAACAATTTGAAATCATTTTGTTCATCGTATACATTAAACTTTTTTGGACTGACATGTTGTTTGAGTATTAAATGTATAGAAAAGGAAATATACAAAAAGCGAAAAAAAGAATATAAATAAAGTTTAGTCTGCATGCTATTTGGCCCCACTTCAAAGTTGTTTATTTCCATCAATGTTCTGTTCGGTTTCGCTAGCTTTTTTTTTTTTTTTTGTTAAATCTGCGATATTCTAAAAATTAGCTTAATGGAGAATTACAACACTTTTTTAACTGTGCGCCAATATATAGATTTCCGTCGATGCGTAATTTGAAGTCCTGTATTTTGACTTCCAAATTACTTTTTTGCTTCTTTTTGATCTTTAATTAATCTGTTGGCTTCTTCAGGGCTTAACTGAACAGCATTCTACTCTGTATCTGTTTATATACTGTTTGAGGGGGACGGAACTAAAGAAGGGATATGAACATTGTTTCAGGTAACTGATTCATGACAAAGTTCATGTCCCTCATTTAGTTCCCTCAAACGGTATGTAAGCAGGTACAGAGTAGAATGGAAACCAGTATCTGTTAAAACAAGATGATTGGCGAAACATTAGCAAGTTCTATAAGCGACGCAGTAACACTCCAGAAGATTTGTAAACACTATTACAGTAGTTTTTTAGATCTTTGCTGGAAAAATTTTGCAAAATTGAAATTCCTGTATCTTTCTACTTGTGTACCTCAATCTTCCGTTTGAACTTTATGAACTCTATAATTTAGTTAATTTCATCCTCAGAAAATTATCAAGTTTGGTCAAAGTTTCGTTCAAAAGACTCGTTTTGTTGGTTGGAACAAATCCGAGAATAAGTGTATTGTTTTTTTTTCTTTTTTTGCGATCTAAAAACCGACAACTCAATTAAGCTTCAAGCTAAATCACTTTCCTTCTACTTGCTACTAACTAACTAACCAAAACTGACTGGCCGCTTTTAATTTCTTGTGCACAGCTCAAAAGCTAATTAGGTTGGACTCTTGCGGATTAATTCTATAGAATGTGTATATTGTATATATATTATTATTATTATTCATTGTATTATATAATTCTATTCCAAACACGGTGACTTTATTTTTCTCGCTTGTATAAAAAATTATTATAAAAAAACAATATAACAATAATAACAATATAAATATAACAAATGGTCGACAATACCTGTCTCAGCCTTGAAATTTTGCTAATGCAAATGTATGATTATTTTTCCATCGTCAATATGTACATTTTGTATAAAAAATTTTGGTTAGCAACGCACTTAGTTTTTCTACGCGTCACTAATAATAGGACTAATCAATTATCATGACCGGATATAGAATCTGTAGTGTTCAACCCTTTGGTAACCGATATTGCATTTCCGTTAATTGCGTTTCCATGTCGCTCCCGCCAATTAGCGCAAAACTAACTAGGCTCGATAATTAAGCGCCGAAAATTGTCAGTAATCAATTTACAGGCAGCCATAATTGATTGTGTAAATATATTTATAAACTCATTAAAGCGTAATTTAAATAAAACACAAACCCTAGTGGCTAGGGAGTTATAGGGGTAGATTAATATAATGCGAAAACTGCTGAAGCTGTAATTATTCAGTAATTTATCTCCAAAATTCTATAGAAGGGCATAAAGAGGATGCTTTTCATATAATAAATTCGTTGCACATTGTGCTGAATATGCTTGTCACGTTTCCCTCCCTTCGAGAATCTTTTTTGCATGGGAATTTGCATCGATCAATTGCGGTGGATTATTACTCGCTTTCGTTTAATATAGACAAGTAGAGTCTGTTCGTGACATTTCTTATATAGCTTATATAGCCTAGCCAGCGATTCGAAGATACGCGCACGTTAACAATGTCGTTTCTTTTTCACTTTTTAACGGCATTTTTAAATTTTATCTCATTATTATTATATTATTATTAATGAAATTAAAAATTTTCCAATTTAAAACGCTCGGTTTACTCAACATATTAATAATACCTTTAATGGTAAACAAAAAAAGTCTCGCTACAGAACATTGTTCTGATTGTTCTGCTTTTTGTATATGTTTAACAGAATTTCCCCAACTTTGTGGAGGGATGTTTCTATAAGTTTGAGGACATTGGAGTTAACACGGGGAAAAACTTTGTTACGACGAATGGCAGATTTCAGTTGATGCCAAACATATTCAATGGGGTTAAATATACAGTGGTAAGGCCTTAAAACTGTATGCCCTAGATTTTTTGCATAATTATCACAAACGTATTCCTGTTGTAGATTGAAGCTTTGTAGAACCTCAATTAATTGCTTTTTGGTATAATCTTCGTGAAAATAAATGTCGTTATTATACATGTAGTTTTGGATTGTTACTTTTGTGTCACATGAGGAAGGGGTTTTACTCAACTCTCTACTGTGATAACTTGCATTGTTCATTACAATGATGCTATTAGGAGGAATGTATGGAACTAGTTTGTTTTTAAACCAACTTTCAAATAAATCAGCGGTGGTGACTTCATGGTAATCCAGAGAAGAATCTTTAATATTTTTCGCAAACAGGGAAAGTCCATTTGGAATCCAACCATCTTTAAAGCCAGCATGCAAAATAGTTATTGTTTTACTTCTTTTTGATGGCTCGGTTGTATCATAAGTGTCCAGGTTTCATCCAAGTAAATAATTGGCCTTTGTTGTTCTCTATAAATCCTAATTTTGTCTAGATATTCCAGTCGCCATTTCCGAATTCTAAAAGTTTCCATTAAAACTTGCCTTTTGTTAATTTTTTTAAATTTAAAACCCATGTGCAATAAGGATATACAATTGTTCTGCTTTTTCTATATGTTTAACAGATTTTTGCCCAAATTTGTGGAGGGAAGTTTCTATAAGTTTGAGGACATTAGAGATAACACGGGGAAAAACATTGCTAGGACGAATGGTAGATTTCAGTTGGTGCCAAATATGTTCAATGGGATTCATGTGAGGTGGAAGCCTTAAATCTGTATGCCTTAGATTTTTTGCTTAATTATCACAGACGTATTCCTTTTGATGGCGCGTTTGTTTTACACTTATCAGTTGAGTCAACCCAACCTTTTTCTGGGATATCATAAGTGCCGAACCAGCTTTCATCCAAGTACATAATTGGCCTTTGTTGTTCTCTGTTAATCCTATTTTTTTTAGATATTCCAGTCGCCATTTCCGAATTCTTAAAGATTCCATTAGAACTTGCCTTTTGACATTTTTTTTTAAATCTAAAACCCATGTGTTGAATACACTTCCATAAGGTAGTTCTGCCACATTTAACACCGGTTTCATCTTTTTCAAGCCTCCTAATTAAGATATCTAATGTAGACAAGCTTTGTTCCTCCTTAACTGGTAAATTTTACGCCGTATTATATCTTGATCACTTTCATCTACACTCGAGAAAATGTCAGCATCGCTTCGTTTTTTCCTAGCTAAATATGCATGCTTGCTGGCACCACGTCTAATGAGAGTTAAATAAACATTGTTTATAACTTCCTTTGAATCAATAGAATAGTGTTTTCTACATTTGGGCGGGAGCATCTCCTGAGATACACTAGACTCGCACATATTTTGCATAATTCGCACACGATTCAACACACGCTGTATTACACACGAAATAAGAATGACACTCGTTCGAAGTGTTTTCGGAGCGCGAGCATTGAAGATGCCAAGTGAGATTTTGACGAAACATCTGCAGGATTCCAGTCGGAGTTCAACAAGCGAACGGATGATATCCCGGAATATAGTGTCATCATATATATATATATATATATATATATATATATATATATATATATATATATATATATATATATATATATATATATATATATATATATATATATATATATATATATATATATATATATATATATATATATATATATATATATATATATATATATATATATGATGACACTATATTCCGGGATATCATCCGTTCGCTCGTTGAACTCCGACTGGAATCCTGCTTCCGACTGGAATCCTGCAGACGTTTCGCCAAAATCTCACTTGGCATCTTCAATGCTCGCGCTCCGAAAACACTTCGAACACTGTGTTCGAAGTGTTTTCGGAGCGCGAGCATTGAAGATGCCAAGTGAGATTTTGGCGAAACGTCTGCAGGATTCCAGTCGGAAGCAGGATTCCAGTCGGAGTTCAACGAGCGAACGGATGATATCCCGGAATATAGTGTCATCACATTTTTCCATCCGTGAATCAATACGTGAGAATATATATATATATATATATATATATATATATATATATATATATATATATATATATATATATATATATATATATATATATATATATATATATATATATATATATATATATATATATACATATATACATATATATATATATATATATATATATATATATATATATATATATATATATATATATATATATATGTATATATCTATATATATATATATATATATATATATATATATATATATATATGTATATATCTATATATATATATATATATATATATATATATATATATATATATATATATATATATATATATATATATATATATATATATATATATTGTGTGTACTATCACCAAAAAACATATAAATAATATATATATATATATATATATATATATATATATATATATATATATATATATATTATTTATATGTTTTTTGGTGATAGTACACACAATAAGAAACATGTGCATTTGTGTATACGTTTAAACATGTTGTTTTTGTACAATTCCATGGCACAGACTAGCAAAACCACCCCATTTTTTTGTAGGACATTTATTAATTTGGATAAAGAATATGCTAATTTATTATTCAGTTTCAGTGTCCTACATGTAGTAATGAGAAACGTGTTATTCTAGAAACGACAATTGTTCAATGTGGGACCGAAAAAATGGCCCTCACTTTCATGGACCCATTTTTTTTGTAAGACAAATGTTATTTCAAATATTTATAAAATAATCTCTGATATTTGTTATAAAAATTAACGTATATTATTACATTTTTTTCATATACAAAAACACCTGTTTCACACCTGCGCATTCTTTTAGGCCTCAATCAACTTTTTTGCAGACAAAAATTTTGTAGGTCTTGCTAAAACAAAGTTGCTCACGAAAAATTAATGTTATATAAATCGTTTTAAGAAAAGAAAAAAATTCTATTTGTGTCTTTACTTTATTTTGAATGTCTCTAAATTTTGAAGTGTAATGTGATTTGTGGTTATTATTTAAAAATTTTCTAGTCGTTACAATATATTTTTCAGAAAACATTCCGTATTCATTTACTTTTTCTTACGCATATACTACTGCAAGGACATACAACTTACTTGAGTGTGGGGATACGGTTATATTTATATTATCAATTATTTATATAACCACCATCCATTATAATTACTTAGCTAACAAAATCCATCCGAAATGTGAATATTTAACGAAGAAACATCATCAAGGAACAATAATAACAATAAATAGCACCTATTATATGTGAAAATTGGTAAGTAAATTTGCTTGAAATAGTGATGGAATTGCCGACCTAGGCCATTTTTCAAAGCTATAAGAATAAATACACCCCGTCGTCTAACACAGTAGTACGCCGCTGGTTTAGAGCGCTCTGGATTTTCGAACAAAGATTGTAATTTGGATCCAACAACGGGAGGAGGGTGGATGAACTCTAGAAATTCTCGTGGGATTAATGAAGCGGGGAAATGGCGCTGGTCAGTCTTTTGTTTTATCTCGAGGCTATGTTTTTTGAAGACGCTCAAAGTTTGTAAGATAATAAATATATTAGGGAACATTGAGGAAACATATTCCCCATTGCATTTGCTGACTTTGCGAATGCAAGGCAGATTTATAGCAGACGTAGAGCAATAAAATTTGATTTTCGATCATATCTTTTTTTTGGCAAAAATGCAGCGCAGTTTTGATTATCGTGCTGCCATGTAAATGTGTTTCACGCCTTATGTTTCACTGCACTGCAATTAATACTAATTCTAGCGAATGGTAGTAGCGAAGTATCGTGCAAGCCGTTTAGCTGATAGCTTGTTTCTTGACTAACACGGCAAAAAAAATGTAACCTGGGTCACTCTGACCCTTTAATTTAAATTATGTCGATGTATTAAATACGTCGAAAAAATTGCCACTGTACTCTGTTATCTATTTTTAGCTTGTTTATAGGCATATGGTGGGTATTCCCTTATAGCTTTTTCAAAAAAAAAAATGACACTTTAGATTATGTGTTTTTGAGTGTGTAGTTTATTATTATCTGTTTTCTACTTTCTACTCTAAAATATTCAACTGTGCATTAATCAGGGGTACTCAAAGTTAAAGAGACAAATGCTGGACAAACACTGCTGGTATTTTGAAAATTGTTGGTTCTGGTGACTGTGCATAACAAATAAATAAATAAAAGTTTGGTATCTCGTTATTTTTCTGAATAAACCAAGCTTAAAAAAAATTGCTATGGACCCAACAACGCCTGTCTCTTCAATCTTCAAATAAACGTTGAGTTCGGCCGTACACAACATAGTAGGCTTAATTTTTTTGACGCCATTCTTAGCATCGGCTTATCCTTTTACAAATACCCTGAAAATTTCAACATTTCAGCTTCTATAATTGTGGCTTTTCAAAAATGGACATTTTCCTTTTTCACCCTATATCTACGGGTAAGGATATCTACTAAAATTTAAACAAAGTTAGATTATTTTTGGCTCTACCTCTCAAGGTTGTACACCATCTAATCCTGGACACCGTATATAAACAATTACTTTGTGAAATCGTTCGTAGTAGACAACACGTTGATAAACTTCTCCAGACTAAAGTGTTAATTATAAAACTTGTTACGTAATCTATGTTCTATTTATTAATTCTAAATTTCAGATTTGTGTATTTGCTTATTTTCGTAATGTACACACATTAAAATTCTATTACTATTTCTATACAACACTTGGAAAAAGATTTTCATGAAAATTTTACAAACTAGTTAACCAAAAAAGAAACGGAACAGGAAGTTAAAGTATGAGAGGAAAGTAACTGAGTTTATGAGGTGAAGGTAGTCTTAAAGGGTAAAGTCACAGAGACCAATCACCATCAAGATGGTTAGATAAAGTAGGAAAAAATACAGGTCATCAATTCCAATCAAATCTTCTAGAGACAGAAGATCGTCAATGGAATACC